TGTTATTATTATTGTTATGGCTGTAGGAAAGTGCAATACAGTGTGTTGCTCCATTTCCACGAGTGAGAGTGAGATGCAGGAATGGTTGGTACCCGTGGGCCCTCATTGGGTTACACTCCTGAGCTATCCGCTCGACAATTCTCATTTCCACACGCCGAGTTTCGGAGGTTTCAGTGGCGCCATCTGGCACATTTTCCTATAACTGAGCGAGACAGTATGGCGACAGCTGATCGCCTCAATTCCGATTCCACTGATTGTGAGAGTTAGCGGCGTCTAATCCCTTCGGGACAACTCCCGAAAAATAGTCAAAAGTAGTTCTTTTAACGAGAATTAGTTCGCGAGAGTGTCTAGTGTGTGTGAAAATTGGAATAAGTGTTTATAACTTTGGATATTTACCGTCGCCATATTGACAGGGTGTCACGCGAGTGTGGTCTGACTAGGGGAGAGGGTGAGGTTTATTTTGCGTTATTTTTTAGTCAATATTAAAAATATAAAAACGTATTTCCCCCCTTTAAGGCACCATTTCCGTTAAGAGGCAATAAATTATCTGTTTTTTCAAAAAAAAATCAGATTTTTTATGTAACCATACGGTTGTAATTAGTGGAATCGGAAAATGTTTTTTTTTTGACAATTTTCTGGGGAATTTTCTAGGGACATGTCGGGCAAAAATCCATCCAACCGGGCCTTAAACTCTTGTACTTTTATGTATTCTACAACTGGTTTTTTAGTATTTAAGGGAAGGGAACAAAATGTAAAGGCCCGAGAGGGTATACACGTGGCAAATAAATAATAATGATAACATAGGGGAGGGGAGGGCAAAATGGGNATGTAACCATACGGTTGTAATTAGTGGAATCGGAAAATGTTTTTTTTTGACAATTTTCTGGGGAATTTTCTAGGGACATGTCGGGCAAAAATCCATCCAACCGGGCCTTAAATTCTTGTACTTTTATGTATTCTACAACTGGTTTTTTAGTATTTAAGGGAAGGGAACAAAATGTAAAGGCCCGAGAGGGTATACACGTGGCAAATAAATAATAATGATAACATAGGGGAGGGGAGGGCAAAATGGGGCATGAACACGTAGAGGCTAATTATGAGTATTTTTTGGTAAAAATTACTTATATTTGAGTTAAAATATGGCTTCAGCATGAGTTGAAATCACATCAGTTCAAAAAAAATAATTGAAGGACAAAATGGAAATGCCCCAATTGAAATACCTCAAAATTGCGTTGATTGATTTTGATTATAAATAGTATGAAATTAATTAAAATGTATACTTATATGGAACGTAATTTTTCGATACATAATCGAAGTTGTCTCAGGGTGTTTTGACCAAATTCGCGGAATTTCGACAAGAAAAAATTGAAAATAAAATGGGTCCAGGACGAAACCTAACTTGTTTGACAGCTCAGAATACTTGTTTTGATGACAAGAATTAATGAAAAAAATACGAAAAAAATAAAACGTAACATAATTTTGAAAACTCAAGTTTTTCAACTTTTTTTTTTAATTCGTTATTATGAGCACCTAGGAATTACAAAAAAAAAATAGTCAAAATATTCTTATAGATAGGAGGAAATGGAAAATTTTGATGGGTTATAAATGAAAATCCAATGAATAGAATTGAACTTATTCAAAAATCTGAAAAAATTGATAGTTTTTAATTAACTCATCTGGTAGTTATTTGATACTTTTCTCGCAAATTCATCATTATTTCAATTTTTGTGAAAATGTTGAGGCGCTCCATTTTGCCCTACCCTCCCCTATTTTGTTATAAACCACTTAGTAATTTGACATTTAATTCCTTGATATTGATCTTTTACAGTCTGCAGGAGTATGATAGTCGCCTAGACAAATTCACGGCAAGGGAGTGCTGGAAGCGATGGGGCCACCTGATCGATTTGTATAACCATGTGGAGCTTGATTATAACAAACCTCAGCTTGTCGCACGGTACGGTCAGATTTACACGATGCTGGAGGATTACTCTGACCGTGTCGCAGAACGTGGGAATGTCCCATGGATTAAATTCTCAGAAGGCGAATCCGATTCCGACTAAATATGCGAAGAATTCCGCCTCCCCCCCATCACTAAATAATTAATTTATTATAATTTATCGAACTTTATTGTTTTTTCAAAAAAAAAATCAATTGTCATTTTCTGACCATTTGATGTGAATTTCAAATAAACATTTCTTTTCTCCATTTTGTTGGTTGCCGTGAGATAGGGTTTCAAATACATTTCATTATAATTTTATAATCCACCCAGAAGAAGCCGAAGCTGCCAGAGGCCCTCGAAATCCTAAAATACTTTGGCTTTTCCATAAACATCATTTTCTCATTGATTTTAAAATTTTTGTGGAGGAATTAATCGTGAATTTATAGAATTAATCATTAACACCCGGACAAAATACTGTCAATTGCCATACAACAAAATGATATTGGATTTCTATCGAACATCTATTGATAATTTCATTAGTTTTTCGACGATACTATTGAAGAATTTTACAGCCTCATCGAGCTCTTTTTTATTGTATAGGAAAATAAAATTCTACAGATTTCTCTATAAATTTTTTACATACGTGTTATAACTGAGGGATTTAAAAAATTGATTACGATTGAATGAAATGCGATTTTGTTCTAATTTTTATGATGAAGAGATAGGGTTAACGGTCCAATTACCCCATGTGTTTGACGAGTATCGAGTGGAATTGTTTAGCTCAAGTTATTATGAACTAACTAAAAAAAACATGTTCAATCGGTTAATGGATTCAATTCAAGGTGTTTAAATCTTTATTCTCAATCAAAACTTAACAATCACTGAATGATAATGATAATAAGAACAGTAATAGTAATAATAATAATCAGTTCTCACGGTTATTAACCAGACAAAAAATGGGAAAATTTATTTCAGTCGATTCCAATGATTACTCCGACAAATTTCTTGGTTTATGAAGTCAATCAAGGCCATAATTGTTGAACGGGATATTTGGGGAATTTAAAAATAATTCATTTAAATAATTCGGGATGTCTTTGTACAAAACATAAACAATTATAATCCCAGTTACTAGATATATTATCCAATGCCAAGGCCCATGCGAGGTCATGGTTAAATGCTGTGGCAGCACGTTCTTTATGAACTTGGATATTCTCAACCAAGTTGCTGGGGAGCTCGAGGGACTCATAGATGGCTAGGTATATCTCGGGCCCGTGCTCCCTGATGAAGATGACGTCGGGATGAGAGGATTTCTCGATCGCCAGGTCCAGTTCCAACAGGTTTATCGAGGGTTTAGCTTCACCCGCAGCCATGCAGATTATATTGGAGAGTGTGTCAGCGATACTCGTGCGAATCTTTTTTTATGCATTTTCTTCCATTGGCAGTCTCCTCAATGATGGAACTCGTCGACCCCTGGCAACTTCACCCATCAGGTACCTAGACTCCTTGTCTCCCGAATCACTTCACTCCCATAAACAGGCTCCAAGTGGTTCAATTTCCGTTGCAAGGAGCATAGGGCTTTCAATTTCTGATGATGATGTCCTCCAAGATTTTCACTCTCCCAACGTCTTCCACATCGATGCTCCACTTTATATATCGATTTTTCATCATTTTATTATATTTTATTCATTTTAACCACTAAACTCGTGTTGTTAAGGGTATTATGGCGGGGTCCATAGCTGAAAAAAAAGCAGAGAATTCAACGAAAATTGCTGAACAGATTATCCGATCCATTTGAAAGCCGTGTGCAAAATGTCAAGATCCCTACTTAAACAATAATAATGGGAATAATTTTTGAAGTTGCTACTTATACACGCAGTTAAATGGGGCATCGGTAATTTTTGTAAATTTCCTACGTTATCGATAGATCAATAACGTAGGAAAAGCACTAAAATTACCAATGCCCCAGTCAACCGCGTGTAAAAGTAGCAACTTCAAAAATTATTCCCATTATTATTGTTTAAGTAGGGATCTTGATATTTTGCACGTGGCTTTCAAATGGATCGAATCATCTGTTCAGCAATTTTCATTGAATTCTCTGCTTTTTTTTCCAGCTATGGTCCCCGCCATAATACCCTTAACCTCAGAACAATCTAAAACCAACTTCAAGACTATGGTCCATGGTCCATGTTCCATTCGTCATGACAGTCGGCCATTTTTCATGTGTGCACACCGCTCACACCGACTCACGCACGCGCGCAAGCAGCACGCATCCTTTCGTAATCGCCCCCCTGAAAACTGACGTCTTGTTGCTGGCCAATATTTTCGAGAATTTTCGATGGAGTTGTTTCGCCTCATACAACTTGGATCCCCATCATTATTCTACTGCACCAGGGCTGGCGTTTGATGCAATGTTAAAAATCACTGGAGTTCAATTGGAATTATTCCAAGACCCTGAGATGCTCGTTTTCATTGAGAAAGACATTCGATGAGGACTGTCACAGTGTTCAAACTGATATGGAAAGGCAAATAACCACTACATGGGAGCTGATGAATATAACCCTGAAGAAGAAAAATCTTATTTGATGTATCTGGATGTAAACAACTTATATGGAGCAGTAATGAATCACCATTTGCCGAATGGGAAATTCTGTTGGCTGGAAGATTGGTCATCCCTCAACGTTCTGAAGATTCCAGATGACTCAGAGACTTTATATATCCTGGAGGTTGACCTGGAGTACCCACGGGAATTGCATGAAGAGCATAAAGATTTACCATTGTGCCCAGAGCATATAACCCCCCCCCCCCCCCCCNTAGTTTGGGCTTGAAAATTACTGGAATTCATAGAATCTTGAAGTTCTCTCAGAGCTCATGGTTAAAAAAATAGATTGATTTAAATATCAGTTAGCGAAAAAATTCCCAGAATAACTTTGAAAATTTTTTTTATAAATTAATGAATAATGCGGTTTTTGGAAAAACAATGGAAAACGTTAGAAAACATCTGGATGTAAAACTAGTTTCAAATTGGGAGGGACAATGGGGTGCTGAGAGTTGGATATAGAAACCCAACTTTCATAGCAGTATTATCTTTGATAAGGATTTGGTAATAATTCAAATGAATCGTACAAAAATTAAATTTAATAAGCCAATATACATAGGTCAGTATTCTAGGCATTTCTAAAAGATACATTTATGATTTTCACTATAATTATGTGAAAAAAACTTTTAAGGATAGGGCAAAACTATTGTACACAGACACCGATAGTATTATTTATCATTTCAGAGTAGAGGATATTTATGAAATTATGAAAAATGATATTGATAAATTCGACACTTCTGATTATCCAATAAATAATGTATATAATATACCTGTAAAGAATAAGAAGAAATTAGGTGTAATGAAAGACGCAAATCATGGCAAGATTATGACTGAGTTCGTGGGGCTCCGAGCGAAAATATACAGCTTTAAAGTGTCTGGTGAAGATCGGGAAAAATCGCGGGTCAAAGGAGTGAAAAAATCAACATTGAAGCGTATCACATTTGACGACTGTAAAGCCTGCTTGGACCAGCATAAAAATGTTTGGATGTCGCAAAATATGATCAGATCCATCAAACATGATGTGTTCACAATTAATCAAACAAAACTAGCTCTAAGTTGACATGATGATAAATGCATCCTTCTGCCAAACACAATAGATACTTTGCCTTACGGAGTTAAAAACAATGATATTGTAAATAACTTATAAAAGAAAAAGGGTGAGAAAATGAAAAAAAAATTTTTTTCGAAAAAAATATTTCTTTATTCAATAAAAATTGCTCATACATGTGTCTCCTTAATCCATCCAATGATTACACTACCAGTTCCATCTTCTTTTGTTACTAGAAAAAATAATAGTGCAACAAGCCAAATAAC